AGACTCAAAACAGCTTTTCATAAAAATGAATCCAAGTTGTGAATCCTGTCATGTGAAGTACATCGTCTCCTAACTTCTCCCACATTTCCCATCCTGCACCATAGACTGTATATAAAAAGTCCTGCACCCCTGTTGTTGTTACGTTGCTGCCTTCAAAATAAAAGCGCATAAGCCATCAGTCAGAATTAGATCAAATGAATGACGTGGATTTGATATTATTGAGTAATATTCAGTTTGAAATAAATAAACTGTTTCATAGTAGCCTATTTCAGTTTGTGCAAGAGGAATTAAAGACCTGTCCCATATGGACACCTGTCCGAAATAAAGCCAGGGTCATTTCAGTGATTTTAGCAAATAAAAGCCTGGGCTATTAATCAAAGTTTTACGGTATATGCAAAAAATATTGCATATAGTATTGATTAAAAATTATGTTTAAAAAATATGCAGTATATGCATTTGTTAACAAGATGCAAGTATGGGTACATCAGTGCTGCCTGCAGAAGTTGAAATACTTAAATAACAATCTGTCAAGTATTGCTGTAAAAATTGTCAAAAATATCCTTACTGCTGAAAAAACTACAATTTATTCAACTTGTCTGCCAGCCTCTCCTTTTTTCATTTTTGACAAATACCCAAACCAAATGCAAACAGGGGAAATTCTGTAGCTTTGATGAGGGTTGCACAACTGTTCTTTAATGATCCGCTAAAATGTTGCTGCATATGAAAAGTATCAACCTTTGCTTTAATTGCTAAAAGTATGTCTCTTAGTATGTCTCTACTAAGATATGAGCTTAGTATATAAAATGCAATGACGTGATAGATCTATAAAATGATCGATTTCATAATTGCACCTGAAGGAGCCTCCTGATTGACTGTCAGTTGGCAATAACTGAAAGTTAAACGGTGTGGAGCATGTGTTCCTAAGTTTTGCTGCTGTAAGAAAATTTTACAACCTTTGAACTGATTTCCAAAACCAATTATAATCATCATTTTAGTAGTTCAAGGTTTTCATCTTTCAATAATGATATAGAAATATCTCAAATAATCTGTCATATATTCAAAGTCAAAGTTTAGTCAAATATTGTATGCATATGTATGTCTAAAACAATCTATATATTTGTGGAAAATCTAAAAATCATTTGCAGGGTCAGTTTGATGTAAGTTTCATGACTTTTTGATTATTTGCACATGACCATTCACCATAGTCACAAAGTCAGAAAACAATCTCTAATGATATAAGCACTGTGCCAATGAAACAAATAAACAAAACATTTTTTAACGATAGCAGCCTTAAAATGTTCCCTATTAACACAGTGAAAAATGCAATGTTACCGGCAGGACTTTATTTTATTCACTGTGTATAAATGGTTATGAATGAAGAATATTTACAACAAAAACAAAATAAAACAAAACAAAATAAAAATATGCTGGTTTTACTCTGTTCTGCTAATTTTATACCCAAAGCCCTTCTTTCATGCCTGACACATTTTTTTTTTATGTTGATGACGGAAATCTTCAGCTGATTTGACAATGATCATGGCTGTTAAATAAGCTTATTTAAGATGTCTTAAAGAGCAAATGAAATGTGCTGTTATCTGATATCACAGTTATCAAACAAATTAGAGAAAAAAGCTAATAACTTTTCTGCAAATTTAGCTGTCATTATGAAAGTTATTTCTTTTTTTACACCTTCACCTGTCAATGCCTGCCTTAAAGCACAATTTGACACACACCTGTTGAAGCCTGTTTTCAAATGTACTGAAAGTTGGATTAGAATAACTATACATTTAGGGGAAACTGTTCCTGTAGTGACATGCATAAAAGATAACACTGAAGAAAAACATCATTATGCCATTATTGCACAATTCACATCCTTCAACACATCACAAACATAGATATTACATTTATTCATTTAGCAGACGTGTTTATCCAAAGCAGCTTACAATTGCACAATTACAATTGCTATATATGTCAGATCATCTAGGGGTTGGTGTCTTGCTCAGGGACACACTGGTGGATGTGTCACAGTGGGAACTGAACTCAGGTCACTCAGACCAAAGGCATGTGTGTTAACCATTGCGCCATCACCACTCCCAGATTTATAAGCAGACATATAACATAGGACCACAGCAGTGTGCACAATATTCACAGCAAAGTGACTGGGGATGAATACAACACATGCCAGGAGGTTGGAGGTAAATGCCTGAAGAAGATTGATGAAAGAAGCTGTAGCAGATGGGTATGAAATTAGCCTGCTTTAGAAGTGCCCCAGATTTTATAAATGTCACTAAGCTGCATATACCGTATGGCCTGGACACTTTTTTCATCATGTTTTTCTGGGAGACAGTAGCCCAACTGATTACATTCACTTATTTGGCTGATGCTCTATCCAAAGTGACTTTCAATAAGTACATTAAACCATGTAGATATAATCGGAAATTGCTAAAATCATGCAAATATGCTACTTTTAGATAGGTACTACTTTTAGATACAATAAGAGATGGAGAGTTTTTTTTCTATAGGCCAGGTGAGGCACCACGATGGTGGAACGTGCTATCACACGCCATCAGAGCAGGGGCGTCCCTCTCTAACTTCAAGAAGCTCTTGAAAACTCATCTCTTCTGAGAACACTTCCTCTTATAACACTTCTAACTCCTAACATATAACATGCACTTCCTGTGCTCTTCTATCCCCTACAACTATCTTGTATTGATTGCACTTTTGTTAACTGTAACTTCTTTCCCTAGGTATTTACCCCATTGATGCGATATGTGCCATTAGAGCTTACTAGTATTTACTGCTGCTTTTATTATGTATTGTCAGTTGTAGATCTCGTGCTGTATTTTATGCTCTGTTAATGATTGTATGCTGTTCCTCAAATGTAAATCGCTTTGGATAAGAGCGTCTGCCAAATGAGTAAATGTAAATGTAAATGTAGACACAGAGATGGCAAGGTTAGTTCGGAGTCAGAGAGAGCGATACAAGGACAATCTTCAACAGGAAATAACTGGCCGTAGCGTAATACTACTCAGGTTAACTGACGAACTGGCGAAGAATGAGCTGAAGGACCGCGGTTGATATACAGCAGGAACTGATTAGTGGAACGGGGCTCAGGTGCGTAGCTGGAGCTTGTCAGCAGGGGCCAGGGAGTGTAGCCACGCCCAGACAACACACAAACACAGAGAGGCAGCACCTTTCTCATTTCCCAAATTTCCACCAGATGACAGAAATTTGGGAAATGAGAAAGGCCCAGGGTAACAGACAGGAAACAAGGAGAATGGTGGAAAACAGAGGTAAACACAAGGGATGAGTTGGAGACACCGCTGGCTCATAACACCTTCGTTATGTGCATTTCAGTTTGTACGTAGAAAATCCTGAGTGGAAATCAATTTAACTACTACTACTAAAATTTTACACTTCGCTGAGGTGGAAAGGTTTGCATATCGCAAAAAAAGAAAAAAATGAAGATTCCATAATTGCTGAGGAAAAAAGATTTTTGTATTGCCATTCACCGTTACAGGACTACACTCCACCAGAGAAACCAAAAACTAAGGTATAAAGAGAGCACGGGTGTTTGGTATGTATGTATGCGCAACGTCCCTGTATCAAGTCCAGACACAGAACCTTGTTGAATGTTATCCGCCGTTATGTATCATTTAGTGATGCTCATTAAAATGTAATCATCTCACATATCTTGAACGAATGTATATAACAATTTTAAATTTTAAATCAAATGCATCTAAAAACATTGTTGCATTTTGTTGCATGAAAGTTGACAAATTTTACCATATTTACCAAGAAAGCTAGCAGCAATCACTCATGCAGCAACAAGTGCATGATCCCTCAACGGCTTTGTTCGAGCCAGAAGTATCACTAAAGATTGAAATCTGAGCTTGTGCTACTTAAAAAAAACCTTGACCATTTTGGTTAATAAATCCTTATGCTGATTCAATTTCAATTTATTGCCATGAACACCCAATGTTGTTTGGACCCCTCAACAAGCCCAAGAGGTATAACTATATTCTGTGTAGATTAAAATCTTCTATCTTCTCTAATCTGAAAGGTTTTCTAATCAGAAAACATGTTGTAAAACAACACGTTTTCTGATTAGAGGAGGAAGGTCATATGACCTGAGGAAGGTCATATGTGAGTTCATCTTGTCAAGAACTAAACTTCAACAATAATCACAATTTTAATCAGATACTTTTTCTCATCACTGTCTGTTGTTGCACCAGAAAAAGAGCACAGGCTTGTAGATAGGTTTCAGCTCACATTCACGTGTTGAATTATTTGTGTGAGGAATCCAGAAAATTGGCAGAAATCAGAGTCTTTAAGCATTAAGTTGTGTGTCTGAAGCTATTTATATGGAAACTAAAGTATGCTTACTCTGTACCCATAGGACAATGGGGTATGCCCACAGTGAGTGTGTCGTCAGTGTTGGGTATGATGGCAGGTGTCTTGGCATCTACCATGGAATCAATTGGTGACTACTACGCTTGTGCTCGCTTGTCTGGCGCCCCTCCTCCACCGACTCATGCCATAAACCGAGGTATTGCAGTGGAGGGCATCGGCTGCATCCTGGCTGCACTGTGGGGAACTGGAAATGGCACCACCTCCTACAGTCAGAACATTGCTGCACTTGGCATTACCAAGGTACATGTACAAGAGACTCCAGATCTTTTTGGTCACTTGAGAGCATAAGAACTCTGCAAAAGGCTGGCAAACCAACAGTCCTGACATCACCTTTTTAAGTTATTTTACTTATTTTAGCAAACAATTGAGCATATTTACACATCTAGGTACATTAGCCTTTAAATAACTCTGTTTTTGTCTCCACCAACTTTTAAGAAAGATATGACTCTTTATAGCATGCATTTAGGGGTGTGGTCCTGGTCAAGACAGTCTCCTGAACTCCAAACTGAATGTCAGAATGGGAAAGAAAGGTGATTTAAGCAATTTTGAGCGTGGCATGGTTGTTGGTGCCAGACGGGCCGGTCTGAGTATTTCACTATCTGCTCAGTTACTGGGATTTTCACGCACAACCATTTCTAGGGTTTACAAAGAATGGTGTGAAAAGGGAAAAACATCCAGTATGCGGCAGTCCTGTGGGCGAAAATGCCTTGTTGACGCTAAAGGTCAGAGGAGAATGGGCCGACTGATTCAAGCTGATAGAAGAGCAACTTTGACTGAAATAACCACTCGTTACAACCGAGGTATGCAGCAAAGCATTTGTGAAGCCGCAACACGCACGACCTTGAGGCGGATGGGCTACAACAGCAGAAGACCCCACCGGGTACCACTCATCTCCACTACAAATAGGAAAAAGAGGCTACAATTTGCAAGAGCTCACCAAAATTGGACAGTTGAACACTGGAAAATGTTGCCTGGTTTGATGAGTCTCGATTTCTGTTGAGACATTCAGATGGTAGAGTCAGAATTTGGCGTAAACAGAATGAGAACATGGATCCATCATGCCTTGTTACCACTGTGCAGGCTGGTGGTGGTGGTGTAATGGTGTGGGGGATGTTTTCTTGGCACACTTTAGGCCCCTTAGTGCCAATTGGGCATCGTTTAAATGCCACGGCCTACCTGAGCATTGTTTCTGACCATGTCCATCCCTTTATGGCCACCATGTACCCATCCTCTGATGGCTACTTCAAGCAGGATAATGCACCATGTCACAAAGCTCCAATCATTTCAAATTGGTTTCTTGAACATGACAATGAGTTCACTGTACTAAAATGGCCCCCACAGTCACCAGATCTCAACCCAACAGAGCATCTTTGGGATGTGGTGGAACGGGAGCTTCGTGCCCTGGATGTGCATCCCACAAATCTCCATCAACTGCAAGATGCTATCCTATCAATATGGGCCAACATTTCTAAAGAATGCTTTCAGCACCTTGTTGAATCAATGCCACGTGGAATTAAGGCAGTTCTGAAGGCGAAAGGGGGTCAAACACAGTATTAGTATGGTGTTCCTAATAATCCTTTAGGTGAGTGTATATGAGGTAGTTAACTTAATATGTATAGCTAATATTTGCTAAAAAAGTTTTTACATCCAATAACAGTAAGAACCTTAACAAATAAAGCTAGTGATATCACCACAGTTGGGGCTTGACTGGTCTTGAAAAAAGTCCTCTATGTTTGAGAGAGTGACAATACTGGTCTCAAGAGCACTTTTTAAAGGTCTCAAGTACTACAACACTAGCTCTTCAGCTACTAGATACACTTTGTTCACCAGCTAGTCATTAACGTTTTCTGCCATATGGCAGGTTGGGAACAGTGGGTTCATCAGTTCAACAGTCCATATTGTTTGTTTAAAATAGCTGCCTGCTGCTGCTGTTTTTGTACAAATGTGGAATAACTTCGGTATTATTTGAGTTAGAATGGACGTTGAGCATTGTTTCTTCTGTCCCAACCGATTGGGACGAAAGAAACACAAGGTTGCGAAGGAAGATATAAATAAATTTAAATTGTTTGTTATAATTGTTTTTTATTTTAAATGTCTGACATTGTCCTTCTTAACATTAACGTCCAGTCTTATCTCTCGGGTCGTACTTTCAGAGTAAAGCTAGGAAATTGCTCATCGTCTGTTGCGCCTCTAACCTGTGGCCTTCCTCAAGGATCTATCTTAGCGCCTTCTCTCTTTTCCCTCTACATGTTACCGCTGGGCAACATTCTAAGAAGACATGGGGTATCTTTTCACTGTTATGCAGACGACACCCAAATGTACGTTCCAATCAAGAGAAATGATCCCTCTGCCCTTTCATCATTCTTAGGTTGTCTAGATGAAGTAAAATTTTGGCTGGACCAAAATTTTTTGTTTTTAAATGAAACCAAAACAGAGATCATTGTTTTCGGGCCCACTGTTAATCCCCAGGCTGCCACCCTCGACCTAGGCAGACTAGCGGCGTTTAGATCCTCAAGTGTTCGGAACCTGGGCGTTCTACTGGATGAGTCTTTAAATTTTGATAAACAAATCTCCTCGGTAATAAGCTCTAGTTTTTATCACCTACGTCTCTTGTCAAAAGTCAAACCTTTTCTTAATCCTAAAACTCTTGAGATGGCTGTTCATGCTTTTATCACCACACGTGTAGATTACTGCAATTCACTTTACTGTGGTATCTCGAAATCCCAAACTGCTCGTCTGCAATTGGTGCAAAATGCCGCCGCAAGATTCCTCACAAATAGTCGTAAAAGTGATCATATCACCCCAATTCTGCGGTCTCTTCATTGGTTGCCCGTTAATTTCAGAACTGAGTTTAAAATCCTGTTATTTGTGTACAAAGCTTTATGCAACCAAGCACCTAGCTACCTAACTGAACTGCTACAACCGTATACTCCATCGAGAAGTCTCAGATCAGGCGAACAAAATCTGTTACAAGTTCCTCACTGCAGACTTAAACGCAGAGGGGATCGAGCTTTTTCTGTGGTTGGGCCTCGGCTGTGGAACAATTTGCCCTTAGACGTTAGGATAGCCCCTTCTGTGATCTCTTTTAAGTCACTTTTAAAAACGCACTTGTTTTCTTTGGCCTATAATTAAGGTTGTTTATGTATGTGTATCTTTGTATATACATATATCTATATGTATATGTGTGTGTGTATGTTTATACGTCCTTTCTGTTGTTTATTTTTGATAACTCTATGATTGCTTGTGCTTCTCCCGTTCTAAGCTGTTCTTATCTTTGCTGTACTGTTCTATGATGTGCTGCTATGCATGGTGTTAGTGTCTTTTAATTTTGTTGTTCTGTAAAGCACTTTGGTCAGTCATTGGCTGCTATAAAATGTGCTATATAAATAAAATGAACTTGAACTTGAACTTGAACATGTAATTGCAAACATATTATGTCCTTTTATGTTAATAAAACATACATAAAATTTCATTTTTAGAACATTTGGGTTAAAAATCAGTGCGCATTTGGATTTTATTTTATATTTATATTTATTTTTATATTTATATAGATATTTTAGCTGTACCAGAGCACTGTGATGCTTTAGTTACATTAGAATGAAAACTGACATGCACTTTTGTGTGCTCAACCCTTCAAGGATCTGAGAGGCACACAAGGGTCACATCTTACCCTGAATGTTATCTGATCTTCTATTATCAGTTACTTTGCATTTTGCAAATCAAGTGATAACTGATAAATAAATGCAAAATATGTGCAAGTTTAGATTTTAATAAAAATGTTTAGATAGTAGGTAAAATTGGATTCACTGTATTCTAAGTAGCATTAAGTAAATATTAATCATTCACAATTTTTGGCATGTTTGAGGGTAACTGTGTTTGTCATGTTAATTTCAGACTTTACCCACACTCACGCTGCAAGAGCTCACTCATGTGAGATACTGTGTAATGTATTACTTCTGCACATGTGATGAACACAGCTATGTGCCAAAGGAGGGCAGACTAAATTACTTGTAGAATGCAAAAATAATGTTGATTCATGGGGAATTAATGTCTGTCTGGCTTAGTCAGCTAAGGGGCACTTCTCCTGTCATGACACTGAGTTTATGCTGATAATGTAAAATCCTTATATAATCCATCTACTGTGGGCATCATTCAGGCATTTATGTTCCAATATAATAATACCAATATGACTGGGCTTGGTGGTCAGCACCATACATACACATAGACACACATCAATATAACATGTCACCCAATAAACAGTATTTACAATTGTGTAAATGTAAAGGGATAGTGAGCATCGTAAGATATATTTGGATTTAATTATGGTCTTGTGATACAACTAATGGTGGGGGAAACCTATCATTTTGGATGATTTATTGGTTGTACTCTGCAGTTGTTTGTGAGTCTCACTGTCTGAGTTGCTGACCAGACTGGCAATTTAAATGGTCATATTGTAACTGGAGGAGTCACTGTTCTATTTAGTGAGCTACCGATGTGGAAGCTAATAAATTAGATTCAATTTGTGTACTGTGGGTCCTCATAACTGTTGAACTACTTTTGCAAAGCACTAAACCTTATTCTCATGAATTCCACCATGAAGAAACGGAGATATTAGAACAACATCAAGCACACATTTGCTTTGTTTAGTAAATCCTTAGAATGGAGAATTAAAACCACATTGTTTTGGGAACATACAAAGGTAAAGATTATACTGAATACTGGAGATGTATATTGCAAAATTAGTGGCTATTCTCAAAAATATCATATTCACATTCTGTTTAAATTGAATAGTAAAACTACATGTTAATAGCACAACCAACATCATGTGGAGCAATTATCATCACACATCCAGAACCTTTCTGTATTCCTTTGACAAACACAGATGACATTCATGTTTTGAATGTATTCATTGGCATTTTCAAGGTACAAGGTTGTTTATTTGTTATTGTACAGCACAAGGCTGCAGAAGGATTAACATTTGTAGTTCCTTCATGCCACACACAACATAACTGTGTCATGAAGAATGGTATGTAAAAAGTATATCGCACTGGACCACGGTGTGTCAGTTTGATTTACTCAAGCCTGTCTTAAATAATAGCCTGTCTTTGAGCAGTACAGCTCACACTGCAGATCAAAGCCTGTGCTACCGCTGAATGTTTTATGGGTTCTGCCAACTGCAGTCTTGACCTGAGAATTATTTTTCTGAGGCCACATACTTGGTTGTTTCGTGTCTACATCCAACTCAGAAACATTGCAAATGAGATGAATAGGCTTCTTGTTAACCTGTCTGAGGTTTTGCCCACTCAGCTTCCTGGTAAAAATATGTCTGGCATGGCGAGACTGATAGATTAAACCATTTTGTGTACACTGTATAATGAGTGTCTGTGCTAATGTCACGCCAGGTTGGGAGCAGACTGGTCCTCCAGACGGCCGGCATTCTGATGATCGTCTTGGGGATCTTTGGGAAATTTGGAGCAGTTTTTATCACCATACCAGACCCTGTGATTGGAGGCATGTTCCTCGTTATGTTTGGAATGATCGCAGCGGTGGGGATATCCAACCTCCAGGTAAACAAAGTTAAATATTGTGACATATATTTGGACACCAAAGCACCTGATGTATAAATAAATAATGAGATGACCTCCTTTTTGTGGACGTCCTAAGACCCAGAGTCACAAAGCATCCACCCTGCTAGAGGGTCCTTGAACTAGATACCGAGACTAACTGACTCCAGTGGTGCTGCTCTGGTACTGACCCTGTGACTAGAAATACAAGCATCTAATTAATTCAACTGTGTTTGTGTAGCTTGAAGTGCTATAAAAACATGACATTTAACAAATTAAAATCAGAAAAACTGAAAAATGAATCGCTAAATATGTATATTACAAATAAGAAAACAAAATATACTTCAGTGCGGAGTTCTTTAGATTTCAAGCAACATGGAGTTTGAGGGAGTTTTTGCCGGAAAATTTAACTCAAAATACAGAAATACTGTACTTCCTATGTACTTGCAACATTGTAATCACTGAATCAATATTGTGGACAGCCATACACCCACCCAGACAGTGTATTTTCCCCATAAGGATTTTTTTCATCAGTCTTTGTAAAAAGATGAAACATAATACCAGGGTTTTGTGTCTAAATTCCAATGATTATTTTGTAGGCACTGAATAACTACAACTACAACAACAACAACTCCCTTGAGTCTTTGTCATTGTTGTCAAACCTCTTGGGAGTTACAGTATATAATATATACAAAATAATTGTTTGCCGAAGTCGAAGTGCTCGGATGTAGCTTAAAATATGGACAGAAATCTCCAGTATCACATTCCAGGCTTTCAGAAAGACTAGTGAAAGAAATCCTCATTGGGAAAATACATGAGAACTGACAGCTAATAGAACAGAAGCTAACTCAGAAGTGGGGCACGTTATTTATGGCGAACCGTTGTAACATTTTTAAAGAATAAATGTTAAAACGGCTTGCCATAAGTCATTTGCTCTTTATTGATCAACTAATGTGTCAAACCTCCCCACAGAATCACATTCAGCTGGTGTAATGGGGCTGGAAAAATGTTGCTTCTTTACAATTTAATAAATCAGTCAGAGCACATTTATAGACAGGGTTGCCCTCAGTCTGGCCTGTGTTGACTGCCAAAATAGAAATCAGGTCTTTTTGAGGTTCCAAGTATTTTCTAATCAAATTTTAGTGTAGTTCCAAAACATAGATGGAAGCCAGCTGAAGCAGAACAACAAAGCAAAATCTCTCTCTCTCTCTCTCACTCTCCTTATCTCTCTCCCCAGTATGTGGACCTTAACTCATCCCGTAACCTCCTCATCCTCGGCTTCTCTACCTTCAGCGGTCTTGTTTTACCTACCTGGTTTCACTCCAATCCCGGCATCATTGACACAGGTGAATTTTACAAAGACACACACTTACTCATGCACACACACACTCACACACGCATAAAGTACATGTGTCCTCACTTACTCAGTCCCTTAAAACTGGAACAACTGTCTTGACAGTCAAATAGGAGAATAACTAAATGACTGAGGACAAGGGGGGCAGGTGAAATCTAATTAGCTACGTCATCAGGCAACCCCCCAGATCCCGCCAGAACACCAATTATTATGTGTAGAAAGAGATAACTTTTTAAAAACCTTTGTAATATGATTGGGTAAGATGGGGTGATGTTGTATTTTTCTATATTTTGATTGACACATACCTATTTTACCTAGGTTTGTTGTTAATATTTTTTTTCACTAGATGTCGTCCGCAGAGCCAGTCAGAAGGATAATGAACAAGGGTAATTCACACCTATAGCAAATGACACATGTCAAAACACCCGTCCCTATGGTTTTTTATGTAGGCCCACACACCCCACTGACGCGGGTTTTGTATTGGTATGCATGGTATGCTATGTATCTTGACTGTTTGTTCTTGAAAAAGCAAAGACAGAATCAATAAATCATGTGAGACATTGACACATCCAGTTTGTTAATCTTTATCAGAAGAGTGACATAGTCCTTTGACAGTTTGTGGGAGGCGTTGTGCTCCCACTGCTCCACTTACAGATTATCCTTAAAAAGATGGTTCTGCCAGCCTAAGCTCCTAAAGCCAAGGTGTTCCCAAATCCCACAGTCCCAGATGGCAAACACTTGGTTACCTTTAGTGTTTGGCCTAGAGTTGCAATTGGCAAGGAGAGATTTTTCATTTTCTTACCTGATCCTGAACTCTGAATAAGTTTTTTAAACCCCAAATAGGAAATTTAAGTATCAAAATGTAAGTTAGTTTGTATCTTACTTGGTCTAACCCAACTCTTACTTGGTTGCCCTCTTGATCTTGGTTCTTTACACATTCACACATGACTCTTTGCTTGTTATCACAGATTTTGTTATGTTTATTTTAATCTAATACTGTAGTTTTGTTTTATCCCTACGAGAGTATGACTTTAAGGGTTATTCAAACAGGCTTGTCTTGATTATACATGAAATGGGGAAACTACAGTTCCAGAGATGTGCAGATTGATGGTGACTGTCAAAAAGGGAAGTTGATTCTTGAAAAGCAACACCATGGAAATACACAAGATCACATTTTTTGACGAATAAATAATTTTTTTAGACTAGGTTTAATTTTGTGTTCTGCCTGCTCTGACATATCACTGATTACAGATATTAATGATTGCTTTTTAGAAATTCTTTTATCAGTAAATTTGGCAAATGTTGATATTGCTAAAAAAAAGACATTTGAAACAGACT